TAGATCACGGATGTTGGAAGAATGCTGTGCTTCTTCGGCATGAAAGTTTAATCTGCATAAGGTCATCAAAACATTTCGCGGAATGCATTACTAAAGTCATTTTTATAAAGAATTTGACGAATGTCAAAGAATCATGCAAAATTAAAATATTACGATTTTTGAATTCCAGTTAGAGATTACTGCACAATCACATGTAAAGGCACAAAAGTTACTGGGAAAATCGAGAAACTTCCTCCGCTTCAACGGTTTGAGAAGTTTCCTTCACAAAGCCACAGGATTTATGTTGTTCCTTGATGTATCGAGCCGATCAACTTGGACATCTTGGACGAGGACATCTACAGGTGGATCACTTCCGTCTTCAGCAAACGAAGGATATCAGGTTCCATGCTCTACGGTTCAGAAGTTAAGAATTCAAACGATTGCTTAGAATACAGTAAGGCATACGTCTGGCTCTTCCTTTGGTTGGTACCGCTTCACCGGCACTCCTTTGCGACTGACCAGGAATTTCGCAAAATTCCACGTAATATCGCTGCAAACATAACTGGTTAACACTAGAGCTACAGTGATAGAGTGAACAAACGAACAAATGATGAACGCTGTCCAAAATCAATACCGGTTCATTTGTTATTTGAGTTATTCTTTAAGTTTGTTCGGCATTTGACCACTGATTGCCTGGGATTTTTTTGGGTGTAAATTATTTTACGATGCCGTCTGCCACTGGAAAAGGAATATGCAAAAACTGCCTCATCTAAGAAATGAATTTCATGAAAGAAATTTCTTAAAAGAAAAATAATTGAGTTCGGCGGTTATGGAAATGAAAAAATCCTCAGAGTCAAAATGCGTTTCTTGGTGCTTCCCGAGACGATGAATTTGAAGTGTAATGTCAGGAAATATAGACAAAAATAACGTCCATTGCATTTTTGGACCTCCTTCTTTTTCATCTTTTTCCTAGCATGTTCCTTCAACCAGGGGTCTGTTAATCGAGTCAACCTCCTCCATATTTCTCTGTCGTTCGTTATATCACCAGGGACTCTTCACAGTTTCATATCGTTCTTCACATCGCGCCACTTTTTCATCGGTCTTTTCCTTTCTTTCTTCCCCGGAAGTACCAGTGGTTGGACCACATCTCCAACTTACTCAGTGAGTCCTCGTTTCACGTGGCTGAACCAACGTCGCCTCCTATCGATAAGCCTTTCTGAGGTTGGCGCAACGCTTATGAAGTGGTTTCGGATGTGGCTTTTTCTGCTGACACCAAACATCCATCTGAGCATTCGCATTTCTGTCGAGCACAGTTGTTGCTCATGTCCCTTCACTGTAATAACCAAACATTCCTCTCTGTTCAGAAGCACCAGTTTTGCTAACGTTCTGTACACGTTCCCTTTCAGTCTTATGCGCATCTTGTAGCGCAGAACTCCGTTCACTTCTCTCCATTTCAGTCAAGCTTTTTTCGACCGATTTCTTACCTCGCTGTAGATTTCTGCACTGTTTCACAGGATGGAACGAAAGTAGGTGAATTCTTTTGATTCAGGCAGCAAGGTTTTGCCTCACTGAAGCAGCCCGCAATACATTCTGACTTTCCTTTGCTGAATTGAAGACGCTATTCTTAATCTCAGTTTTCCTAACTTCGGTTTTCTGCTTCTACTTCTCTGCTTTCGCTGCATAATACAATATCATCTGCATAGAACATGCAACATGGGGGTGGTTCCTGCAGATCCTCAGTTATCGCCTCTGTTGCCATCGAGAAGAGAAATGGGCTCAGTGGATCTTTGGTGCACTCTTACCTGTACAACGAACTCTTCCGTTTCGCCGCATGTGCTTCGGACTGTCGTTGTCACTCTGCTGTACATGTCTATAGTAAGTCCAACATATCTTTCTGATACAAGCTTCGTTCTCACCCTCCACCATATTGCTTGCATTGGCATCCGGTCAAAGACTTTCTCCATGCCTAGGAACACCATGTAAATGTCCTGTCTGTCTTCTCTGTATGTTTCGAGGACTGATCACAAAGCGAAGATAGCATCCGTGGTTGATCTGCCTGGCATAAAGCCAAACTGGTACGATCTGATGTTGACCTCGTTCCTCAGTCTTTTGTCCAGCACCCTATCATATATCATCTTGGTGTGACTGAGCAGCTTAATTCTCCGGTAGTATTCACAAGCGAATATGTCGCCTTTCATTTTGTGCACTGGCATCAAAATTTTCTGCCTCCATGATTGTGGGATTTTTTTCACATTCCATAATTTTTTTGAAACCAAATCACGCCTTCTTGCCTCAGTGCCTTCTATGTTTCTATGGAAACTCCGTTCGGGCCAAGGGTAATTTTATTTTTTCATTTTGCTCGAGGCTTTTTCCACTTCCTCCAGTGAGATCTTTTCGACTAGGCCCTGGTTTTGTGGGATCTCTTCTGCGCCCTCTCTGGGATGCTCTTCGTTTAGTAGCATTATGAAGTGCCTTCGCCATCAATTGCGAATATGTTTCTCGTCGATCAGCACCATTCCACTTTCGTCTTTTGTGCACTTCACATTATCCACATCTCCTATTCTTTTTTCTCTGGCATTTGCTATGCGACAGATGTCTTTCTCCCGTTCCTTCGTTACCAGAGTTTCGTATAAGCGCTTGCACCCTGTAGACTTTGCTTCAGCCACGACTTCCTTCGCATCCCACTTTGATATAGCATATTTTACTCTGCCTTCCTCGCTGTTTAATAGCTGCCACTTCTTGAGCAGCTTTTCTTCTATCGGATCGCAAAGGGATCTGTAGGATCGCAAAGCATCCGCATTCCACCACAACGTTTCTTTCTGGATATGTGTTGTGCCTTTCGCCGACTAGACCAATGACATTACCCATGATTACGCTGGCGATTCGCTCTCTATTGCGTCCACTTTCCTTTTCCAGTCTTCTTTCGTCATTTTTCTCGTAACTTCCATTTTGAACGCTTCTGTCGGCTTCCCTTCGAGTTTCCACCACTGCATCTGACTGGATTGTTTCAGAGAGATGTCTAGGACCAGTAGCCGGCGCTGGTTTTTGACAGTTTACACGGGGATAACCTTGCAATTCTTGACGTTCCTAATTTCGCCCCTTTGGAGTAGAAAATAGTCTATTGAATTTTTCTTTAGCCCGCTAGTGTAGGTTACCAAGAGGTTTTCTCTTTTCTGGTAGAACGTGCTTATCAGAGCCAGATAATATGCAGCTACTATCTGCAAGATGTCTCTCTTTCTACATTTAACATACCATGCCAATTTCCGCCATGGTTCCTGTTGTAACCCCTTCGATGTTTCCCGAGGTGCCCATTATGGTCACCCTCGATTATCATTTTTTCCTTTCTCCCTGTATCTCGCAGTGCAATACGTAGGCTCTCCTAGAATGTAGTCTGGTGGAGTAGGCACTTATCATATTTAAAACACCACCTTTTTAAGTCAGTTTAACCCCCGTTATTCTGTCCTTAATTCGGCTGACTTCGATTACCTTATTTTTGGTCGCTTCATTAAGTACCACTCGAACTCAGCTCGTTCTGCTTGATGTTCCAGAGTGAATGAATTTATGGCCCAATCTCTTTGATTTCTCACCTTTCTATTTCGTCTGAATACAACCGATCTGAAACATTCTTCTCTGAAGAGCCTCCACAAGCTTCATGCCCTTTCCCGCCATTTTTGCAATGCTCCAAGTGGCTATTCACATTTTCTCGCTTCGCTCTCGGTACGTCAATCTCTCCATTTGCGATTGCCACAACAACCGTTTCCCTCATTCATTTCTAACAGTTGCCGCGATTTTCAGCTGCGCGTGTCCTTTGGAGAACGCCTTGGGATTCTTTCTAGAGGTAAGATGACTCGTCATATTTGGCGTTGGATAGCCGTTTAAGGCCGGCTACCTGCCTGACGCCATCCCGTCTTTCTCAAACGGGCTGGGAACCGGCTACGGCTGCTTTTTTGGATGATGATGAAATGATGTTGCATCGACTTGTGTATTGACGTGTTCCCCCTTTCAATGGCATGACGAAATGGAAACCGCGAATAGCTTTTTTAGCACTGCATCCGCTGTTTTGGTTTTATGTGAAAACTGCGAATTTTCCACCTAACACACTTCTTCAGATTCACACGGATCAGCATTCAGCCATGACGTGATTAAACGATCTCCTAGGGCTATTAGGAACAACGGAACAATGCGAGTATCCTGTGTGAATATGAAAAAATGACAGGATGATTTTAGATGACTCTTCCTGGAGTTAAAAACATTTTGTTTATATGTATCACATGGATAAATAATCAGTGCAATAAACACAAACCTTTTCTGATTCGGGAGATTGTATACCAATAAAGTTTAAAGCAACTTTTTTGATGTTGTAGACTTTTCAAATTCTGTTTCATTTTTTAATTTCTTCGTCTAGAAATAATAATTTAATTTTTCTTCGTAGCAAAGAACTGCTTCTTCTCACTTCCGATGTATATTCTCATACTGCAGTTTATTTGAAGCATATGTAATACTTCACCGTTGCCTAAGCAAATGATGGCATGACGAACCGTCTGATCACTGTTCAATTTCTTAATATCGTGCCCCCTTTTGGCCTTGGCCAGTAAAAAGGAGAAGATGACATACCCCATTTTCGATTTGTTAAGGTTGTTCATTGAACGCTTTGTGCAGTCTTTTCGCCAAAGCCCAAAGCTATAATCATCAGACACCGTAGTCGGGATTGCCCCGGTGGTAAAATATTTCCCTCAAAAAACCGAGAGATCCTGGTTTCGAACCTTGGTCGGCTCATTGGTCTCTTCTTCTGAGGTTCGTAAATGAGTACCGTTTTATCGAATAAAGTTTACAGTTTAATGTTGCATATCCGCCGGCATTTTGTCCTTCAAAGAAAGGCACTTCTGGCTGACAGCAAGAAAATGGAGATTAGCCCCTCTCCCACACCACTGACTTCATAAACGAACGGTGTATCATGGAAATGTAACGAAAACCGAACTTGAAACTGTTACAAACTATCCGTTTTACTTTCATCATACATCCTATGGTGGGGAAACGGTATGATGAAATGGTGTGATTAGTATCGAGCCTTTCTATCAGAGTTACTTAGAAGGATCGCCCGGCTTCTGGTGCTCTGACAATCTGACTAACATGCGGGCTGGCAGAGGATTATTAAACTCAAAAAACGTTCAGTGTGCTCCTTGTCTTCATCCTCATGTATGAGTCAAATCCGTGTCGACTAGGTGAGGGGCATGCAATATGGTAAACACTATATTGCTCGAATGCCACAGAACAGTGTTGCACACGTTTTAAGTTTGAAAAAAGAGATTGCCACGTGAGAAGACCCAATCCCTCCTTCACGCTGACGTCAAACAATTCTTTATGACACTGTGGACACAGGTTTTGTATGGTTATCGCAGCAGTCAATTTATGCATGATGGGAATAACTATTCTCCTAGCGAAACCAGCGTGATCAGTTATTCCAAAGAGCATGAACACATGTCTTTAGAACTTTATAACAAATTACTTTTCTGCCATTTTGATAACATCGCTCATTGAGAGTAAGTTACCTCGGAGGCGTTCCTTCAACGTTGTTTTTCAGGTAGCAGAAAAGGGGATGTGCGCCTTCTCCGTTTACCTTAACTTTAGCGTACATATCAAAGGTGACGTTATATTGTGCCACGAACTGTTTGATCTCGGCCTCGGTCTTCGGTTCCTGCAAACAAAGATTTAACAATTTCCATCGGTCGGTTCATGTCCTTTCGATGAAAGCTGTTTGGGCAAGGATCGGTGACGTTGTCAACGCTCAGTCCTGCACCGCAAGGATCAATGGAAGATTTTCTGGGGACATAACACGAAACTTTCGTCTACCTTACTTCGAAGAGGTCAATAATTTTATTCTATGATTCCTCTGTGATTCATGTGTGACGCCAGGAGGTGCGTGCAAATTCATGTGAACAGCAATTACAATCCATACAGTCTTAAGATATGGACTTATGCCCTCATTCCAATTATCATTTTGCATATTTATGAAAGGGAAAGACAGGAAGGAAAGGAACGTTAACAACCGTTGAAATATCAGGCTGTTTTATATACTGAGTGGCGCTCATTTATCAACCTCGGGAGGAAGAAAGGCGAGGCTCAAAGACTAAAGCTCTCACTTCTGAGTCTGACTCAGTATCAGCTGAGACCAACCAGTCTACATCACTGAAAGGGACGTAATGGCAAGAAATTCGGCATTGAATTTCGGAGCTGCGGGGTCTGATTCTGGCAAACGACAACATTTGCCTTAACCTCGAATTGCGCTGAGCAAGGAATTTACCACACATCGCTTCAGGCTGGAATTGCGAGGTCGATCGCACCATGGAATCCCTGCAAGGGGTATTTACCTCCTCCTTATTTCTGAGGTTGATAAATGAGTACCATTCTATGCGAAGGGAGCAGAACACTACACACTGTACCTACTACACAGCTGCTGTTAGCTCTGCCTTCAAAAAGGCACTTCTACCCGATGACAAAGAGAATACCGCGCAAAGAGAAAACGATGGTCACAGAACGGCACCATCATCAAAATGTAAAGAGGACAAACATTCCAGTGGTTAGAAACTTTCCTTTCGTTCCTCCGATGTCGTCGAAAAGCTTTATGGCAGCAACACTTGAAGCTTTTGTCAAAGTTGTGAATTCCGCCGCTTAAGGATGTCATCAGAAAATAGCGACGCTTCGAACAAATTGGTACATTTGAATTTTGGCGATGAGCATTCCCTTTTACAATTGCATTGTGGCGACTACGTGAGTTAGTTGAGTGAGCACGCAACCCCGTT